TTTTTAAATAGTAATATAAATGAATCATGAGGTGCCTATCTAGTAATTATACTATGCTCATCCTTTTGTTTTTGTTTCATACAGTAATTTATATTGTTTTCTTTTCTTTTGGGGAGGTGGGGTTGATTGAATGTTGGCATGTGTTATGGAAAACCAACAGGGGTGCGTGAGGCAGCTCTACACCACCTGTCACAACCACCCACATTTATACACACATGACTTCTTGTCAATCCTTCAATAAAAAAACAAAAACAAAAGACTTGTCAGTGGGTTATCTGTCACATTTATCACAGGAGCTTGTGGACAAAATCAGTTCCATGCTGATAAAAACAACAGGGAAATCACCTTTAGATGAGGAGGAGCGTACGGTGGCTTTATGTGAAATGTTTTTTATTCTCTCCAACTATTTGTCGTTGTGTATGCTGCCTGTCCGGGTCAACTTCCAGGTTTGACTCGTAGGGACAGTCCATATGCTCTGAGGTCCCAGGAGACGTGCACGTCGTTGTTTACTGTGATCGGAGTCCAATATTTTTTTGAACCAAACGAGCGTGCAGCAAGGCTTCTTAATTAAAATTCGATCCGGTTTTCCTCTCGATGGTTTAATGAGCGTTTGAGAAGCAGGTAGCCCCTGCAATTAATCTAATTGATATTTACGCAGACCTATTTCCTGAGGGTGAACGGAGTGGAAATATGGATCTGCTTCCACAAGGTGCTGCTTTTGTTAATGGATAAAGTATTCCATGAGAGACAGCTCAGAGTCCCGCTGACTTAATTATACTGTGAATCATTTGTTTCCCCGGTGTGAGGAAAATGACAGTAGAAATGTTTTTATAGTTGGGTTTTATTGCCAAAGTAATGACTGCAGAAAATCATCAAGATGATTAGTTTGGTAGCAGCGGCATTAAAGCTAGTCTCATTCTTAACGTCATTAAGAAACGTTTTTTTACATTTTTACAAATTATAAATCTAAAAAAACAAACATTTGACAAATATGTCCTGATGCATCTCAGTAATCCAGGTAAAAAAATCAAAAAGAAAAAAATTGTATAGGTCTTCTGGACGGGCTCTTCTCTAATGAAACGTTTCTGTTACGGGGGGCAATATTATAGGCAGAAACATGGGTGTGCCATGGGATCCCCAGTTTCTCCTATTGTTGCAAACCTGTACATGGAGGAAGTGGAAAAGAGAGCCTTGATGTCCTTTTCAGGGGTGCCACCGAGCCATTGGTTCAGATATGTTGACGACACCTGGGTTAAAATTAAAGCCCAGGAAGTCCAACATTTCACTGATCACATCAACTCTGTGGATGAATATATTAAGTTCACACGAGAGGATGTAAAAAATGGCAGGTTGGCATTCCTGGATTGCGATGTCTCGGTTTCGGATGGAGGACGGTTGGAAACTGGCATATATCGTAAGCCCACCCACACAGACCAATATTTGCGTTTTGACTCCCACCACCCACTGGAACACAAGTTAGGAGTGATCAGGACTCTGTACCACAGAGCAGACAGTGTCCCTACAAACCCAGGAGCCAGGGAGAAAGAGAAATCACACACACGACAGGCCCTGGAGCAGTGTGGTTATCCTGACTGGGCTTTCCTGAAAGCAGACAGGAAACACAGACAGGACTCCATGCAACCTTCAGGTGAAACTGAAGACCCCAAACCCAGACCCAAACCAGTGGTTATTCCGTATGTTGCGGGTGTTTYGGAGAAACTGAGACGTTTATTTTCTAAACATGATGTCCCAGTAGCTTTCAAACCCCAAAACACATTACGGCAAAGGCTGGTTCACCCCAAAGATCCGGTGCCCCGGCACAAACAGAGCAATATTGTATATGCTGTTAAGTGCCAGGAGGACTGCGACCAGTTATACATCGGGGAAACAAAGCAGCCACTGTTCAAAAGAATGTCCCAACACAGACGAGCTACATCTAATGGCCAGAACTCTGCAGTTTTCACTCATTTCCAGGCCAGCGGTCACTCTTTCAGAGATGAGGATGTTCTCATTCTTGATAGAGAGGAATGTTGGTTTGAGAGAGGAGTAAAAGAAGCCATTTTTGTGAAGAAAGACCGTCCATCATTAAACAGAGGTGGAGGCCTCCGTTTTCAGTTGTCCCCCTCCTACAGTGTGGCTATTGCCAGTATCACTCCACCCCCTGTTAACAATAAGTGTTAATTAGGTGTCAACGATAGCCATGTGATGTGAATATCAGTCACATGGAGGCAGGGCTTAAAAGCCTGAATTTTGCCTGAAACTCAGACTGAAGAAGTCTCTTGGAGGAGAGACGAAATGTTTCATTAGAGATGAACCCGTCCAGAAGACCTATACAATTTTTTTCTGTTTGACAAATAATAAGTCTGTTTTCTCTCACATTTTCTTATAAAAACTGCAACATTTTCTCATCTTGTTTAAAACTGTCTTGTTTGCAAAATTTCCAGAAGCCTGCACGAAAGAGTTAATTCTCACACGGATTCTGATGATTTGCAGCTGGAGATGGATGTGCATCTACCACTGAATAACTTTTTAGCCAACTAACTTTAAAAAACACACAAAATGCTCCAATTATAGGAGCACTGTCATTATTGTGCAATATTTTTAACTCAAAGGTTGATTTTAGGGCAGTAAAAAGGTTACAGATTCTCCTCCCGGCCTTTCTGCATGTTCTCTCAGAATATTTGTTTGAATAGTACATTCATTTTGATTAAAATCAAAAATTACAATACAAAAAAGAAAAGAAACACACATCTCATAAAATGAAAGGAAGCAGTAGAAAAAATCTTATAACATCTGCCCCTATTTAACAAAAAAAGAATAATAAAAAGAAAAACATATAAACATTTATACGTGTACACATACACACTTTCATATATACGTATATATACATTATATACATACATATACACATGCACTTATATAATTTTACACCCTCATCAGCATAACAAAAAAGTTTGATTAACCCCTCAAACATCAGCTTCATATTTTTTCAACAATTTAACTTTTATAATTTTTCCAAATAAATTAATTGGGTCAGCATTTTTATAATCACTGTCCAAGATATTCCACAATCTTATTCCTTGAACTGAGGTACATCTATCCTTCAAGTTTGTTTAAATTTTAGGTTTTATAAACATTTCAAATCCTTTCAAATTATGTAACAAATTTCCCTCTTAAAATTTGATTGACTATTCAAAGGCAATACACCTTTATGAGCCCTATACACAATCAACAAAATCTTATAATCAAACAACTCATTAAATTTTAGTCATTTCAATTGCTGAAACAATACATTAGATGGGTGACTCTTAACGTTTTCTGGTAACAATTCTTATAGCTCTTTTTTTGCTGAATAAGAATAGAATTTGTAAATGTTTTACAAGCCTTACCTCAAATTTCAACACAATAAATCAAACGTGGAACAATTATTGCGTTATATAATATAAAGAGTGTTTTATCATTATGTATATCATATTCTACAACAAGTAAAACTTATAAAATGTTAAAACAACTCCAGGTTTCTGATCACCTGCAGGAAGCATTAATTCCCCGCAGCCCTCAGTAAAAACGTGTGCAGTTGTGTTTAATGAAGTGAAAGTTTGAATGTGTAAAGCGCTCGTGCGTCATTAAAACGGATACTGTGGGAAGTTTATCTGTATGCTGCTCTGAAGGCAGCCGTCCTCTCTGTTACCAATCGATTGTTTTCTAAAGCGCTGCTGCTGCCTGCGTTGTCTCTGTGACTGCATTTTATAAATCACCGGAGCATTGCTGCTGCTGGTCACAACCCACCGTGTTTCATTAAGAACGCCATGAATACATTTACCTGCAAGCATACAGTAACTCACTGCTGCTGCAGTTAGTCTGTTAGCACCAACGTCTTGCGTTTGCTTCAATATATTCGTACGCGCCAATAATCAGAGGTCTGTAAAGTACTTGAAAAAAATAAAGTACAAATACATGAACAGAAAATGACTTTGGTAAAAAATAAATTTCACTGATGAGAAAACTACTCAAGTAAAAGTCATAAAACTTCACAAAAATTGGTAAAGAAAAGGTACTTTTACCCACTCTCTAAGAAATAAACTGTTGAATTTACTGAACCAAACTGGTTCCACTAAACCAGGTTGAGTAAATTGAGCAATATATGTTTATTCTTTGCTCAGTTTACTCGACTAGGCTTAGTGGAGCCAGTTGACATGACTTTGTTGAGTAAATTCAACACTTCATTTTTTACAGTGCATAAACATCTTCTTTCATGATGAGTTTGAACATATTTAATTGTGTAATGAGGTGTTAAATTTTAAAGTAGTAAAAGTGTCATTTTTAGCTTTAAAATGTAACGAATTAAAAGTAAAAGTAGCTGTTTAAAAATATTTGGTAAAATTACAAATCCTCAAAAAACTACTTAAGTACTGTAACGAAGTAAATATACTTAGTTACCATAAACCTCTGCTACTAATTACTAGGTGCAACGATACAGAAAATTCACGATTCGATTCGGTTCGAAACTTTTGTGTCACCGTTTGATTTTTTTTTTTGATACAAAAAAGACAAATTTCCACGCCCTTCTTAACTCATAATTTATTGAATTTAATTGTGAACATTTGTTTAACCTCAAAAGTACAGTTTCTAAATTAATGTTCCTCAGTGGATCTGTGCTCAACAATGCAGCCTAGGTGGAGTAGTCGAGCACAGATCCACTGATCCTTCAACACAGAGCATCTTCAGAAGACAAGTTGAAAAATTAATTTTAAAATCTGCATTGTTTGATTGAACCCAGAGTACTGTATTGAATGTTTGATGGAGTATTTACTATATTTACTTGCATGGAACTAAAATTTGGTGTTGTAGTAGCCGTAAGTGATTCACCAACACCAAAACAATGTGTATAGCTGTGATTAGACGTTTTCCAGCTTGTTTTTGTTGTTTATTTCTTGCATTAAATCTAATCTAAGCTGCTTTAAGTGTTTCCACTAATTAAAGTTTGATTTTTTTTCCAGCGGTCTGGACAAGGACAAGGAGAAGTGATGCCAACGCTGGACATGGCGCTGTTTGATTGGACAGACTACGAGGACATGAAACCTGTAGATACCTGGCCATCTTCCAAGAAGAAAGGTTGGTCATGTGGCTGTGATGCTGCGTTATGAAACACGTTTATTTATCAAGAGCTGAGCAGCTTTAAAACTGGGGACAAAAGAATGATTTTTACCGTGTTTGTCATGTGGCACTTTAATCACCAGTTTTAATTTATCTACAAAAAGACCTTGAACATCTGAAGCAGATATCATGACAGTTTAATAAGTAAATGTGTCATATCCTGCTGCTATGAGACACAGACAGCCCCCAGTAGCCATCATAGCTAATTTAAATGGATCACGATGCACCTGAACTCATTATAATACCACATATGTTCTGTTGGAGCTGCTGCCTCGTATTTTCATTCTTATTGAAATTATTTTACCTGATATAGCACAAAAATGGGTCCAGTCACAGAATGACAGCTTCAATTATCCGTTTGGACAACTTCAGTTCAAACAGTGATGTTGAATGAATTTTCCTGCTGCAGACAAGAGGCGGAGTAAGAACCTCAGCAGTGGAAATATGACTGCAGACGCTGGTGCAATCGAGCCATGCGACCACCACCTGGACTGTCTTCCTGGTCAGTAGAAACATGACATATTCCCACGGTTGGGCAAATATCGGGTATTTACACATAAATCCATCCGAAGCTCATGCCTTTCATCTCTGCAGAAATGGCAGCTGTGTTGCCCGTAAATATGTTTGTTACTTGATTGCCACATTTTTAGTTGTCGTTTTGTTCAAGGTTCCTGTTGTGACCTGAGACAACACGAGTGTGAACCTCACAACAGAGGCCTCAACAACAAATGCTACGATGACTGCATGTGCGAGGAAGGTGAGTGACGAGAACGTTTACTTTTCCTGTCGTTTTACAATCAAAGCCTGCAGAAAGATGCAACCGGGCTTTTCGAAGGCCCAGCAGAACCGTGGCAGCCCTGCTGACAACACTGAGACGCCCGTCAGCGTTTGCAGCAGTTCAATCAGACACTCGTAAACATGGCGTGCATCATATGTTCGAGTCATTATTTTACTACGTCACCACGCATATGACCGGACAATCAGAGTGGACTCAGTGTTAATATTGTAACAGATAAAGATGTTTCTGGAGCAAATTTCAACACATCCAACTTTAGGGATCACAGGAAAGTTCATTTGAAAGGTGGGCTTATGGGTCGTGGTCTTCGTTATGCCCCTTTTCCACCAGTGCCACTTAGTGTAGTGTTGGTACAGTTCCAAGCCATTTCCATTAGGCCAGATTCATGGAACTGGCCCTTTTTTAGTACCTTTGTTGTGGTTCTAAGAGGTCCCAGTTGACACCAAAATCCAATGTCAGAACACTGTTCGTCACTGTTTTGCTAGGGGGTGGAGTCACTGGTTGCGTCTAAGCTGCCTTTACAACAACAACTCGAGGCGCCATTTTTTTCAAATGTAGCAGTGACATTAGTTGTGTTTCCATCCAATTTTAATTATAGTTTTTAGCGAATTTTTAGAATTTTAGAAATTTGGCAAATGGGTTTCCATCTCTCATTTTGCGCATTAACTTTTGTTCGAAAAACCCAAAAACCACCTCCACCAACCATCCAAAACACACCCACTGGAACCGGAACGTCAATGGAAAAGCACTCAAACTGACCCGTTTCGACACTGACCGTACCGACACTACACTGTGGCACTAGTGGAAAAGGGTCACAGTGAGTGGTATTTTTAAACTGGTTGGTATTTTTTTACTGTGTCTTATAGCTTAGCTTGCTGCATCTATTATGTGAGTGTGTGTGTGTAGGGAAGCACGGAAATGAAAAATTCAGCCGATATCGATATCCGATATAATTATTGCTGTCATGGCCGATAACCGATATTTACCGATATTACACAAACACACAAATTATTTTATACATATACGCACAAACACACTTGGGTCTTTATTTGATATGGTAAATAAACAACCAGACCTCTGACATGGCTCCCTACTTCAGTTGTTCCTGGTCACGCAGCATCAATATCACTGTCATAACCAAACAGATACCGCTTGACCAACCGTATCACCTCCCAAAACAGAAACACAAAACTAAAAAGTGGGAAATCAATATTGGACATTAATAGTTTTACATATCGGACTGATACCGATATTCTAAAAAAAAAGGACCAATGTGTGAGGATGCTAGGAGTAAAGCTAGCAGTAGGCTACAGAGGTTTACTGTACCTGTTTATCAACAGAAAGTGCAGGGATATGATCCACTTGATGGTCCAGTGTTGGTATTTTATGTTTAGAGCACATTAAATTGGTGATTTTTTTCCGGTCAAATTCAGCTCGTCCCATCGCTGGAATCCAGCAGTTAGCCTAGCATCTTAGTGGTAGTAGTTCTTTATTCATTTCATTTGTAACACAAATTAACAAAGTTCAAAAAACATGCAATCAAAATAAAATCAAATAAAAGGAAAGGCAGCAGAAGAAGACTAAATCTTATAATAACTGCCCCTTTTTTATACCCAAAATATGTTCAAAAGAAAAGTAAAATACAACAAAAATCAAAACAACTTAAAATACTTAAAAATGAATTTAAAACAAAAATTTAAGACACCAACTCAAACAACAATTAGCATGAATTCACTTATAATTCTCCATATTTCTTCAGAATACTAGTTTTTATCATTCTCTTCAATATGTACAAAGATCTGGCATTTTTAACCTCATCTTCCATGCTGTTCCACAATCTTATTCCCTGGATTAAAGTGGATCGCTCCTCAGCTCTTAGCTTGGAATCCAGCAGTTAGCCTAGCATCTTAGCTTGGAAATGGTGACTAAAAATACTTTTTCCATGTTGGGATGGTGGCTGTATCCTGAGTCACTGTTTCGAGTAATGTAGCACAATGTTTTGTGGTCCTCCTGGTGGAGTTTGATGCTGTTTTCCAGAATTTATTTTAAAGTTTAAGTTTAAACACAGCTAAACCGGTGAAGCGCTGCTACAAGAGTTTATACATGCATATCGGTGTCGAGCGGACATAGTCTCGTGACTCGTATTCTAAAAATAGCCCGAGTAAAGTTCCCCATTTAGATGAAATGATGCTACACAGGTCTTATTCAGGGAACACGTTGTGAGTTTACCCCTCTGATGTGATGATGAGCTGCCTTCGGTTGTTCTGGTGTTTTATTGAACAAATTGTTGCCTTTGGGAAAGATGTCTCAGCTTTTAAAAAAAGTTATTTCCTGTTTATACAAAATTCATACCAGTGCAACAAAACCCAGAATCCCTGCCTTTTTCCACGTCTCAAGGAGTTTTTAATGCTCCAAAAGAAAAAAGCAGGAGGAGCCAAGTTTCAGCTAGTTGCATTGTGCATTTTGTCTGACTGATACGTCTTTTAAGATAACGTGCAAACAATCTTTCAGGGTTTCGGTGCTACGCTAAATTCCACCGGAAGCGACGAGTGACACGAAGGAAGGGTCGCTGCGTGGTGCCAGATTCAGTCAGCAGCGACCACGGAGGCTTCATCACTATATGAGGACGAACAGAGAAGACGAAGATGAAGAAGAACCACACAATCACTCAAATACGACAGGATAGCCACGACACTGCTAACAAGTTAGGTGTTTAAAGGGGATCTCTGTTTGCTTTGTTTTTGTTTTACAAATCAGGACAAATATAATAATCAATCACATGCAAACGTCAAAAATAGCTGGTGACTAAACTGATTTTTTTTAAATTATTATTGGATTAGTTATACATCTTTTCCAGCAAAGTACCGTCTTTAAGCACCCAGTTTAACACAGGAAACTTAGATTTGTTCTCATGATTGTTACAATAAAACAGTGGCTTTGACTCAGTGCATCTATAAAAATATGGTTTTATTTTGCATTGGTTTGAACAAATGAATTCAAGAACAGACTTTTCACTCAGTTAAATGTGTAGATTTAAATTCTCGATGATGGATGGATGGTTTAAAATCACATACTGCATTTTTAACCTAAACATGTCCCACATTTATTTGCAACTGATCTGATTTAAACACTGATAAGTATTAATTTTATCTTTTTAGAGTCCAGGATGTGTTTATTTTACTGCTTTAAAACAGTCAAATCAAACAGTTAAGTCACAAAAATGATGATTTGTTGTGATTTGTGTGTGTGTGTGTGTTCTGTTACATGTCTTTTATTACTGACATAATTTTCCATATAATTTGTGAATGTGATTTAAATCTTTCGACCTTGAATTATAATTAATAAAATGTTTTGGAGGCCAAGAAGATTTTCTTTGAAATCCATTTGAACGATGCCATCAACAATACGCTTGTTTTCTATCACACGTGTCCTAATATATGTTTTATTTATTGTGTTCAGATATGCTTGTGTTCTTCTGTTTTCATGATTAAACACTTACTAAGATAAACTGGTGTTTAAGCATCTTATTAATAACAGATAATTTCAGTATTAGACATTACGTGTCTCAGAGGGAATTCCAAAAAGAAGTTGAAGTTTTTCCTTTGTTTCATTAAAGTTTTTTTTGTAGAACTTTATTAAAAAGCTCTGATGGAGGATGTGACGCTCCTATGGCTTGTCGGATTAACACTTAAGCAGCTGTAATTATCAGGCGCCCATCATCCCAGTGTAATATAATGTTCCTTCATCTCCCTGGAGCTGCCAGAACATTTGAATACATTTAATGTCAAGTGCAGGAAATAATGTTCAGATCACTTTTCTGATCTGAACGCTCAAAAACCCACAATGGTTCTGTTTTAATACCTGATTAAATCGCAGAAAGGTAATCCCTCCTAAGCAGCAACGCAGCTGAAGTGTGATTGCGCCGTTCTGATTTATGACTGCAGAATAAAAGCATCACTAATTTTAATGTTTCCTTCTGACAGAGAGCTCCGGTGGAAACCTGGCCAACAGCCTGCAAAGTGACAAATTACTCGCAGCCACGTCCTGGCAAGGCTGGAACTGCAACTGAAGCATCTTTAAGCTTCTCGCGATATAATTAATTATCAGAGTTGCTTCTCGAAGTTAACTTTTCCAACTGGAGGTGCTTTCTAAATAATACAGCAGTGAAAAGAACTCAGCAGAGTAAACAAAGCAGTTCAGTTTCTTCTATTGTTCTTCAGGGGAAATTCATTGCACCATAAATCATGTCAAGCATGTAAGATACTGACCGGACAGCATAAACAGAAGTCTGGAAGAGGGGTTTTATCAGTTTCAAAATTGCATTTAAGCACTTTGCTTTATTTTTTTTAAAACATGACGTCATTTTACTCAAAGATTTCCTCATTTTTAAACATTTCTCTTCAAAATCTTGTAAAATATATCCCATTTGTTGTTGAATTTTTAATCATTTTTCTTCAAAGCCTGAGACGCCTAGATTTTAACTTAGATCTCTACAGCTTCAATCAAAAAGAAGAGCTGCCACAGGGGGTCAGAGGTGATCTGGAGGTCAGAGGTCACACCGCCTAATACAGGGACCATCTGCCATGTTTGAGGTATTCAACGGATCAGGAGCCAAATGGCATAATATAAAAAGGTAAACAAGAGTGAATGATACATTAGCATTTTAGAGGTCTGCTCCTCCTGTCCACATGAATAATGTTGAGGTCAAAGGTTAATTATTTAAAACATCAACAAGAAATGTGAAATTTTTTTTCACATTACAGATCTGATCGAGGTTTTATGACCTGAGCTCCCCTTCTTTTGATACATGTACAAATGAGAAAACACTTCTATTTTTGATAATGGAAATGGTTGAAACACTACAGATGTTAGGGATTTGGTCACAGCTTTTGTTTCTTGGTGGTTTCTGGTGGTTTCAGTACATCTGGGGGTTGTGTGGAGGACTTATAATCATTCAGAATCTTACCTGCAGAAGGCGGTCATGATCAACTGAAGAGCCAGGAAAAAAAAAATACATCGTGAAGGGGATTTCCTCAGTCCAAACCAACTCTGACCTCAAAACCTCTCTGTTTTACTTCCTGTTTTAGTTGAGTTTGCCGCAAGCTAAGCCGAGTTTATTTCCTTTTTTAGTCTCACGTTAAATCTGAATAGCACACCTGAGCTACTTTTACCATTACAGGTGGGAGTATTCACCACACTTGATATCAGGTCCGTCGTCTCCACAGACCACTGATGGGGTGGGCTCTGAGGTTACGGACCCTCTAGTTACGTTTTGAAACTTGTCATTTTGAAAGTTTCTATTACGAAACCTTAAATTGTGAATTCTGGGAAAACAGAACAAGATGAACTCAAACTAACAAAACATGAGTCAGTCAATAAGCAGTCAAAGGATGAGTTTAATATTTTTAAAGCTAACAATGCTAAAATATCTGTTTAAAACTTAAGCTCCGCCCACTTGAAGATATTTTTATTATTTTTACAAATGTTGTCAAACTGCGTGTTATTTTATTTAAAACAGAAATATATGCCAGCTTTTTCTAATATAATTTTCCTGTTTGTTTGATTTTTTTTAATTTTCCATGTTGCTTTTTTATAACTACTTTTGCTACTTTAGCTGTTCATGGCCTACGTCGAAATGTTCAGCTCATCCAGGGAGTGGGTGCTAGCATTTTAGTTTTGATTACTTTTACTGTAAAAATACTTTTCACTTTTAACTCATTTTAGCTTTTACATAACCTTTAGCTACTTTTAGGTTTTAGCTAGGAGCCTTTTTAGTTTTTAGTTAGATTTTTGTTACTTTGAGCTGCTAACATTTTAATTTTAGCTTAAAACTAGTTTTTGTGTGCTTTTAGCTACTTTACCATTTTGCTGCCTTTTTTCCACTTTTAATTTTTATCTACATTTTTTCTAGTTTATTTAGCTTTATATTTTAACTCCTTTTAGCTTGACTTCTGCTTATTTTAGCATTTTTTTCAGTTCCTTCATCAGATCTCAGTTGTATTTCCCAGAAACAGCTTCTCCAGCTGAACAGGAACCAGAACAGCCAGGCTCCAGTCCAGATCCTTGGTGGTGAACCTGTGTCAGATCAGAAACTGGAGCTACTGATCCTCCTGGGGAGGGGGAGGAGGAGGAGGGAGTCACATGGGAGGCAGTCAGGCTGCTGTCACATGGCTTGTGTTTGCAGGTTAAAACCAAGGAGGAGGGGTTCACAGAGAAGTTTGTGTAAAAGGAACAACTGCAGCCTTTTTCATGTGGCCTGTCAACAAGCTGAAACACTGAATCGGATCAAGGAGGAGCTGCTCTGACCAAAACAGCTTGAAAATGGAAATCCCTGCTATAAACCTAAAGGTGAGCTGTGCTTCTGTGGATCTTTAGTTATCATGTTTGTGTTTGACTTTAAAAAACAAAACCCTCCAGGCTTCAGTTCCTCTGTGTGGTAACTATACCTTCCTCTGATGTGGACACACATCACAAACTGTTTCTGTTGAGCAAGAAAAACTGAGAAATAACTTTTGATTTAAACGACACAAAGTTATATTCAAAGCTCTGATAAACATGCAGTAAAGTTTGCAGCTGGTGCTGCCGAGGAAACGTCCATTAAATCCTCCTGTCAGACATTTCTGATGGGTTTTAGCTTTTGTTTGGCTCTTCTGTTGGGAATATGCCACATACAATAATAATTGCTGTTGTCTGTCGAACCACTTCATGTTTGTAATGTTCGTAAAATAAAATAAAACTGAACTCTCCTTTGTCTCCTAGGCCATCGTGCTGGTCCACTGGCTGCTCACAGTCTGGTGAGTTTGAACTGTTTTATTTCACTCACCTGAGGAATTTCTCTCTCACACTCTTGACTCAGGCTTTGGTTTTCTCCTGCACATATGAGACGCTTTTATTGTCCAATCCGACGTGACTTGTCTTCTCCTCAGGGGGTGCATGGCAGGTCTGCCGATATCCTACGCCTTGGGGAACTTGAGTGTTTTAGCAGTTGGCGTGTGGGCGATCGCACAGAGGGACTCGATTGATGCTGTTCTCCTGGTGAGTCTTTGCCTCCATTGTTTTGTCCCTTCAAGCAGATTTAAGGTCACGTGACGCGAGCAGGACTCTAACTGCGGACGCGGCTCTGCAAATTTCCACTAACCTGTTTGTTTGTGAGGCCTTTTGGCAGAGACTTGATGTGGAAATCTTGTTTTTCTCCGTTTAATGCAACACGAGGCACTGATTTATCACGTTTCATTACAACAGAGAAGGAAAGTCTGAAATAAATTATTATTTTTAGACTGACAGACAAATCATAACTCTGACCTCCATGATTCATGTTTTATAATTATAATTTGTCCTTGTTTTAAAGTGCCTGTGATGTGCATATTCTTCATATATACAGTAAAAAGTCAAAGAAAACATCTTTATATTTAAGAAACTTTACATAATTCACATGATTTTACCCAGTTTGTCACAAAACTGGCATATTTTCTTCTGAACTTGGCTCAAACCAAATGAAACAGGAAGTGACATCAAAGGGAACTCTTTCTTTGTTAATTGAAACATTATTTGAACTCTGACTTCTTCGTCTCTCTGTGACTCAAAACAACCTAAAGAAACATCGGATTCGTCTCTACAGCTCGTGTTAGCAGTTGTAGCAACTGTTCACATGCAAACGCTCCCCTTTGACATCACTTCCTGTTACTTCACATGCAAATATCTCAGCAACTGTTCATCTCAACAGCATAAAATTTGTTTTGCGTAATGCTATCAATATTATCTCTCCAAAAATTTATTCATATTCATCACAAAAATTTGATGTCACAGGCACTTTAATGTTATTAATTGGCCAAGGATATTTTTTAGTGTAAAGCAATGAGGATTTATTGTTATTTTTTGTATCATAAAAAAATTAACTCTTTCTGCTGCAGTGGTTTAAAACTACAACATTTTTCTGTTGTTTTCTTACGGAATTTTCCAAAATGAAGCTTGTTTTTACCAGAGAGGTCAGCAAATGATTCAAAAGGAAAAACTCTATCTTATTTTAGAAATGAAGCAGGTCGACATATTTTCCGTCACTTCACCTGTCTGTAACAAACACCTGGTTGTTCAGAAGCAGCTAACAGTTTAGCTGACAAAAGTACCTTTTTTAAATAATCATTTCTAAAGCTTAGACTAGTTTTTTTCTGTAAATTAATAATCTCAGACAATTAAAGCAAATGAATAAATAAAACGCTGATTTCTTGTTTCAGAATTTCTGTCTGCATTTTTAATTTGAGTCACTCTGTAGCTAATTCTCTTGTTTTCATGTTTCATCAGCAGTGAAGTGACTTTTATTTTGTTCTCCTCGCATAAAACGATGAATCATTCCTACAATTTTCTCCTCAAAGCATAAAAAAACACGTTCAAATCCACAGAAACATTACATCCTTTTACATTTTCTTTTTTTCCCCCTCTTCCTTTAGTTCCTTATGGGGATGATGCTGACGATACTGAGCGACATCATCCAGTTCTCCATCTTTTACCCCGTCGTTGTATTTCAGGGGGTAGTTCGTTTCAGCGCAGGGATGGCCATCCTCAGCCTGCTGCTTAAACCCGTTTCCTGTTTCTTTGTCTACCAAATGTACCGCGAACGAGGCGGAGATTACAACGTCAACTTCGGTAAGTTTAAAGAACGAACAGGAGTTAAAGTAGCATTGACTGGAACTGGGAAAACTTTACTTTGGTTTTTTAAATTCCATGATTAATCCGTCAAATATATCCTTTTTGTAACTTTACCTCAAGAAGCAGTGATGTCATTTCTGTAACTAAAATATCTGAAGTTCCTGTTTTTACTCTTCTTGTCGTGAAAAGCTGTCCGACTTCAGCGCAAACTGTAAAAAAACTCTGTACCAAACCAGTGGCTGAACACTTCATATTTCACTAATTAGTTACGTTCACATGACATATTTTTGTAGTGAAACACCAGAGCAGCAGTTTAATTGAACAAATCTTATCCCACAAGTTCCCCCTAACATCCGTGAATCATCCTGACCACGGGATTGTCCCGCACGGACACACACATTAAAACTCCTCACGCTGTGAAACGAACAGGACAGAAATAGCTCCGCTGATGTGCAGAAATACACACAAATAGAGAGACTTTGGGTGATTATTGAGTTTAGATTTTATAGATTTTGAACAAAATGATCAATAGGGGGTCTGTTCTAATCTATCAGATATTGATTTGTGGGCTTGGATTTGCTCAGCTGGAGCTTTTCAATTTGAAACTGCAGTGAGCTGTGATGCCTGCTGGAAAATGGAGGATGTTAGTTTACATATTACCTCAACAGTTTGTATTTATTTTATTGTGGTAACTTTTTATGAGAGTAAACCAGATTGTTTGGTGTGGGGGGGCTAACCCTCTTAAATTTTGACCCAAAACTGCAGCTGATGAAACAAATCTCTTGTCCGTGGGAAAGATAATTGATTATTGATGAATCTGGTCTCGTTATAGTTTCACTCCGCACAGCGGGAACAACCATTAGACTGAGTTGTGACTGATGAAAGCAGCCAGTGTTGCTCTCTCTGTCGGTGTGTGTGTGTGTGTTTAATGATTGCACAGGAGACATTAACACTGACGGGAAGCAGACAGTCAGGTGCAGACAGAGAACTGCTTCAATCAGGTCATCAGGAGTTTCAGTTTGGACTTATTTTTGATGCGTATTCTGCTGTTTTTAAACACGTTTCTTTTAACTGGACGGTGTCCCGAAACATCAAGATGGGGTCCTGAAAAGATTTTCTGAATTAATTACATTTTTGCCATAAATGAGTGAGGTTAGTATATTTAAAATGGATAAATGTAGTATAAAAATATTGGGCCTCATGCAAGAACATGTTCGTATTCTTATCCTAAATTTCTCCTACTTTTGTTCAAAGGGTTCGTACGAACATGTCACGTCAGATTCAACAAACTCTTCTATCTTCAGGAAAAGTGTGTAAATGAGCTGCATAAATTCCACCTGTTCGTATCCAGCTGCTCGCGCACGCGAGAGGAGATTAGCGTAATTACCACCCCAAAAACACCATATAAGGCTATGTTTCCTGCCTCAGATATCAGGAAGTGTCCATTCATGAAAATGACAGCGAAAATTAAAAAAAGAAAAACTTTGCGAGTTCAGAGATTGAAGTCCGTCTGTCAGAGATCCAGAAAAGAAAATCTGTCATTTTTAGCAGGTCAACTGTGGAATAAAATGAGCTGCTAAAAGCATAAACAACTGTGTTAAATCATTTATTCAGAAGCCCCCCACCCCACCCCCACGCACGCTGCACGGTCACAGGTGGTCTCAGATGCGGGTTTGAAATAAGCATTTTAAATTGTTTTCAAAATAAGTCTGGCACTTTGGAGAAAACCCAGGACTCACTGGAGGGATTATGTATCCCCTCTGGTCTGGGAACATCTCGGAATCCCCCAGGATGAGCTGGAAAGTGTCGCTGGGGAGAGTGGGGTCTCTCTGCTGCTGCCCCCGAGACCCGATCCCAGACAAGCGGCGGAAAACGGACGGACGTAGAATTTATATTGTTAGTCTAAATTATTACATTTAAAATTATAACTCTAATTCAAGCAGAATAGCCTATTGTCAACATAATTATGGAGTGTGATTTATTTTCAACTCAAAATATCTTCAAACTAACGAAATATAAAGTTATTAGTGAAGAAAACCCGTCTGGATAACAGCAGATTGACTGCTCGTAAAATATACGACAGGTCTGGACCACTCGTGAATTTTGTTCGTATCTGAAAAAAATCTTAGAATACGAAAACATTGGTGAATGCCACAAATTCTCCTAAATCACTCGTACGCACAACTTAAGAACAAATCTGTGCGTACGAACGGTTCTTGCATGAGGCCCATTGTTACTTTGCCCATGTTTTGTTGACCTGATGCAAATGTTTATCATCCAAAAATAGTTGGGGGCTCAGGTCTCTGCTACTGTTATTTTGTGGGTCAAAAGCTGAAAAAGTTTGAGAACCACTGCACTTTGGTTCCCAAAGTTGGGCTTGGGACCCAATTATGGGTCATGAAGCACCTTGGATAATCTCCAGTTATCAATTTAAAGGGTAATAAAATAATTGCCGATGTAATATTTTCCCTATAATTATTACAAAAACACAAAATAAGAAAACAATAAGTATTTTATTTGTGTACAAGCTGTTTAGATTGTCAAAAAGCCTGTGTTTTTATATTAATGAAGTTTGTGTACTCAGACCAGTAATATTTGGGGTCACAAGTTTTTGCCATGGATATTTTGTGGGTCAGAAGATAAAAAGTTTGGGAACCACTGCTCTACAGTCCTTAATGGAGACATATCATGCAAAATCCACTTTTGTTTTAACTGTTGTGTACTTGGAGTCTCTTGGAGTGCAGAAAAGTCAAAGTGCGCATCGTTTGGATTTAAAGAGACAGCCTCAAAACGAGTTGTGAAAGAGAGGCTTGTGGAGTTACAATAAGGAGGAATTCAGAGCAAACCATTGCCAGTGTTGTATAAAGTACCCCAAAGTGATACTTGAGTAAAAGTATACTTGATACTTGACTCAATTTTTTCTTATTTCAAGAAGTCTTACCAAGTAAATTTTTCTTACTCCAATGGCAGATATTTTGACTTAATTTGAATCAAATTTTTAGGACTAACAAGATAAATAATCTTACACATTCTGAAAACAAGTTTATTATTCTTACACARTCAGTTCTTGTTTAGTAAATCAGTCTCAAAACAAGATCAAAAAGACTTTTTGGCTGATATAAGATTTTAAAACTTGGTTAGATGGACAGTCATTGCAGTGTACTTTGGTAAAAGTTCAAATCTCCTCTAAGAATATTACTTGAGTAAAAGTCTTAAAGTATGTATTTTGTACTTCAGTATTAAAAGTAAATGTACTGAGTAAAAATGAGTGGCTTGATTTTCCAAAATGACATTTATTGGAAGGCGTTACCCTCAAAAACGTTTTTCTAAAAGCAAAAATGACTATAATGTCATATAAAAATGTTAATGTTAAAAAGTAAAAACAATGTTTAAAAAAATTAGGATGCACTAGTCTACCTTTTGTTTAGTTTATATATGCCACAGACATCTTTGTCCTGGGCTACATACAGTACATCTGTTATGTTGTGCTGGAGTGTGACATGATTCGTGTCGTTTGCAGCTGTGATGGATTCAGAATGGTTTAAATGTAAACTTTTCATCCAACCAGTTAAACTCACTCTATCCAGGAGGCACAGTTTATCAGGATAATATTAACAACAACAAGCCATAATGAAATAGGAGTAACAAATTTCTACTTCTTACCTTTTTTAAAAATATAATGAGTAGAAAGTACAGATAATTGTGAAAAATGTAAGTAGAAGTAAAAAGTAGGCTGAAAAATAATTACTCAAGTAAAATACAGATAGCCAAAATTTCTACTTGAGTACAGTAACAAAGTATTTGTACTTAGTTGCTTGGACCCCAGGTGTGAAAAAGAAGGATTTTAAAGCATGATACGTCTCCTTTAACCTGAGGGGTGAGTTTTCTGCAGAACTGTTGCTGAAACAGTAAAATTCTCAGGTTTATGTTTGCATGTGATTGGCTGCTCTTCATGTCACACTTCCTTCTTCGGGAATGATCTCCTGTTGTCCTGTTTTTGATCAAATCTTCTTCTCTCATCTTTTCCCCGCTGATGTGTGTTTCCTCAGACGTAGAGACCTCTGTGGACAGTCGGTGCACTATGGACAGTGCTGACAGTGCCTTTTTTGGCCGCCGTTACTGATTCCTGGCTTCTTTCTTTTCACCATTTCTTTATTTTATTTTATTTTATTTTATTGTTTCCCCATAAACCATCGAGGAAGTAAAATTACAAATCAGAGAGGACACATAAGAGAAAAGACTCTTTTCATGTTTATGTTCTGCTCCATCTGTCCTTTTTATGTAATTATTATCTGATCTTTTCTTTGGCCTGCTCCAGACTGACCTCACAGAAATGATCAAATTGAAATTTAAATTAAATTTGACCTCCTTTAACATCTTATTCAAAGGTTTGTTTGAAATTGCTTGTTGGCGTTATGGAACCAATGGAAAGAAAAGTCAATGAGCTGTTTCTTCATAATGGACACAAACATTGTTTTGTTTTATTTATTTAGAAAGAATTGTAATGACATCACGCTTCCCTAAAGTATTTCTGTGAGACCAGCCTGCTCTGTTTTTATTGTCCTCATTAATTTTCCATTCTTGCCTGCATCACTGTTTGCCTGTACTCTGTTTTAATGTTTGCTGCATTGTTTGTTTGTTTTTTTGTGTGTGTGTTCGTTTGTCTGATTATTTTTTTTCACATGTGCTGAATATTTCATGAGGATTTTTAGTCTCCAGACACCTCATTTGTTGTTGCGTTTCCAGTTTTTTTTAATGTATTTAAAGTAGAGCTCCATGATAATGCACATTTCAAAATGAGCTCCGTTAAAGTCACCATATTGTTGACTTATTCCTAAATAGAGGCTGTATCCATACATATTGCAGTAAACTTGTTTGGAATTACATGGATGTTCTGGTTCTGGTTTTTGCAGTTGTATCTTTTTATTTTTTTTTACAGCTGTGTTCATAAAACTTTAACCTCAATCACAAACGCGTTGGAACCCAGTGAAATGTCTATAAATAACAGAATACAATTATTCATGAATCTCATAAAGCCATATTTTGATCACAGTGGAACATGGTGAACTTATCAGAAAGTGTAAGGTTTTTAGGAAAAAAACTTTTATTTTTGAACTTCATGGCAGCAACACATCTGAAAGTCGTTACAGGGTCATGTTTCTCACTGAAGCATCCAGTTGTTTTAAAGTGTAAACATTTAGAAACTGAGGAAAATCTTGTCCCATTCTTCTCTGAAGTAGGGTTTCTGAATCTGAAGGTTTTTCAAATCTTTTGATGATATTAAAGGGGCAATATCATGTAAAATCAACCTTTTTGGGTTTTATATCATGTTATAATGTTATACTCTCATAAAAAACATGCCCAAAGCCTTGCTTTGACTCATTCATGCATGTTTGAGAAATCCTGCAGTGTTTTTAGGAAGCCATGCTGAGGAGCAAAACGACAGGTGGGGACCAGATGGGATGGGGGGCAGGTGGGGGCCTTTTGAGACCAGAAACGCCCCTGGGCACCAGAAACGCCCCTGGGACGTGTCTTTAAGCCGAACTTCCTCAAGGCAGAGCGCACCCACCCACCCCCTCTGCACACAC